TCGACACACATCTGATTTAATTTTTTATGAATGCAACTCTTTCCCAGTTTCGATTACCATTTTTTGAGCGAATAATCTAATAACTTAACAAATGACTCCCCATCGATGGTGGAACGAATGACTACCTATCGGGCAAGGGGTATCGCCTGAGGGGGGTTTCAGCTTGATCTGTTATATGCTCACGGAATCAAATAATTGTTAGATACGTTTTGTATTTGTACAGGAAATCGCATGATCTCGAGTACAATTCGGAATTTATAGGTACGAGTTATGTTTTGAAAGTTTTCAAAATTGGAATATCCTTTAGGCGAGTTTGATTTGAGACCTTTTAAAACATCACGAGTATCTATGAATTTTGAATTGTACGAGAAGATTGTGGGATTTTTTTTAATGATACACTCAACAAAACTTAGAAGCTTAATAGGAACTCTACAGAGTACAATTTAGGAATTAATGTACTCGTCTTGTCCAATCAGAATCGAGTAATTTTCTAGAGTGTATTATAAAACTTTCAAAATTATTGCTTATGCGTAAGTATGCAGAAAAAGAAAAACGTATGCAGTCTAGATGTGTATCAACTTGTAGTATATTTGGTGGTGTATGCAAGATACGACGCATGCGCCGTAGATCCTTTCTTCTTTACACTGACATTAGTATTGCTAATGCCATGCGTGCCTTGCCAAGTTAAATTCTGACCTCACCAGCATCTTTATCCAGCCATAATTCATCATATTGATACTCAGGAATGTCATTAAATATATCGTGATAGTTCCCTAATTTTCCTCGGTCACTGACGGCGCTGCCGTCAAAGAGACAGCGAGAGACAAGAACATTCGAAATATAAAAGCATCGCCGCTCGAGGAAAGCGTTTTACGAAAAAAAGGTTTTTGGTTGCATAAGGTTAGGTATCCAGGGTGGTTAGAGATCAGGTGAACAGATATTATAGTGATTTTACCTGATTTTCTCACTACGCAGGCTTGCCCTGAGTATCAGGCCTTGGCAGGGTGCCTGCGGATGAGATGGGGACCTGTGAAAGAGCCTGATACTCAGGTGACGCAGGCTAGTTGTTACTCATCCCGCGCGTGAAAGAAAATTACTTGGTAGACCTGGTAAACTGGGGTGCTTACAATTTACCCGGAAAAACCGGAAATTCCAAATATGGTATCAAAACTGATTTGCATATCCGCCACCCGGTTAGCTGAGTTGGTAAGAGCGTCGATCTGTTTTGCGGGAGGTCGTGGTTCAAGCCTCGGCCGGACCAACACTCAGGGTCTTAAAATAACTGAGGAGAAGGTGCTGCCTTTGTAATTACATCTGCAGATGTTTAGACCTTCAAGTCTTCTCGGACAAGGACTTAAAACCGTAGGCCCTGTCTCCCAACCCTTCCTAACCTACAGTAAATGGGGGACATAAAAGAACCTGTTGAATTATTCGTGTAAGAGTAGGGGATTGTCTCCCGGTTCAACAGCCTATCCCAATCTGGAGGCATAACACTGATGTACTAACAAATTACTCATGATTGTAAGCTGCACGGCTGCTAAAAGCGCCTTAATATGCAGCCCGTAAAGTCCTCCACTGCAATGTAAAGCGCACTGAGACAATGTGAATATGCGCTATATAAGAACCCCATTATCATTATTATTATTTATCTTATTATTTCGGAGCATGGTTAAAGTGTTACACGTTTCAACCTGTTCTAAGTTTGTCAGGTGAAAGCATATCACTTATAAGTTCTGTGTAATTGACTAATAAGGATGATTTTTTCCCTTCGGCTTCGAATTGAGCTGATCCTCGCAGTATATGAAGCAACTTATGGAGCTGCAAATTGAAAGACTCAGAAAAAATTCTGAGTCTAGGACGGGATTTGAACCCGTGCCCTGGCGATTCCATCTGTCTACTCATGTTTAGACCAAACAGTAATGACGCAATTGCGGGACCTGAATGTCAATGTCATGGTCAGTCCAGTCCTGGAAATCTATTTTTAAAGTAATTATCATCCCATTCGTGTTCATTATCCAATGCCAGAGATTTGCATGCTCATCTGTAACAACATTTCATGTTTAACCCCCATGGTTGGAAATGTAGCCTTTTAAGTCATACAATTACTTTTTTCTCCTCGCATCAAAATAATTGAAAAAAATATTGTTTTACATCATAACCAAGGTCTGAAATAGAAAATCTTTGTTAAAATATATAAAGGATTCGGTTTCTAAATTGAATTTTTTGCTGTAGAGTCATTAGGAAAATATCCCCCCCCCCCCCCCCCCCTCCGGGGAAACTATTAACCCTCCCTGCATAGCAAGATGTCACTGACGACCTACCGCATACAAAATTTATAGATATCAAGTATTACTAGCTCTTCTTAGCCACACGCATGACTGTCTCACTAGTGCTGCCTTCCTTAACTGTTTTCCTGTTTAATTTATTTGTTGGAGCTCATCCGGGCAAGCTGGCGTTGGACTTTTCGTTAGTGGGTTGCAACCAAAGACATTTGCATCACTCGCGCATCGTTCACGTGTGGCTATTTTATGTATGATTAATTACTTGTACCTCAATTTGCTGTTTTTATTTTACCCAGCTTGAGCCCTAGGAAAGTGTTCACAGCATCTTTCCCCATGTATACGCGTAGACCTTATATGGATGCATGTTCCAATGTTTACGATTCCTTATACTTTTCAGTACCTCGCCAATCAGAGCTTCAGAAACAAGTCAAAGAAATGGATCAGATGGAAAGAAATGTGTCAGAGATATTAAACACAATGGTATGATAACCATCAGCGTGCTGTTACTGAGGGAACCCATGCTCAATGCTGGTTTGGGCTGCCTGTGTGTCTTTATGAATGCAAATAAATAAATGACACTTGACAGTAATACAACTAATAAACTCGTGGTCCTCTTTTATCGTATCTAATTGTTTAGTAAGGGAACCGCCATTAACTAGCCACTTGAAGGACTAAGTTACTGTCTCAGTAATTTTAAGACCCTGATTGTTCAATCCTTTAATCATTTTGACTTGATAACGTCCCTTTTTCAAAAGTAACAAGGATATAATAATCTTCACCTTGATAAATCCATATCAAATGCCGTTTTATTATCTTTCAGAGAAAACAAAACGAAGAATTACAAAGACTGTGGATTCTCCTCAAAASTACAAGAGAAGAACTTCAACAMATGAAACCGACGACTGAGACACCTGTATCMATGACAACAGAAGAGACAAAACCAACACAGTCCAGCAGCTTGAACACGACTAATATGACCAGCAGTGTCACCCCTAGCAACACACCTTTCGTAAGATCTCTTTTCTGGTCATTAGATTCGCATTCATGTTGCTTGTTGTAATAGTCTGAAAATAGTCTTTTTTTTACTAAAATCGATATTCGAAATCAAAAGCAATTTCATTTATTGAAGAAATAGGAAACGCGTGCGCGTACTGTGTCCAGTTATAAAGCACTTGGGGATTAGAAGAACAAGAGAGACGTGTAGGAGAAGCACGACGCGTAGTGGAGTGCTTCTCGACACTCCTCGAGTGTTCTGCCAATCCCCAAGTGCTTTATTGCTGCAAACAGCACAGCAAGCAAGTTTTTACATTTTTTTAAATAAAATACGTATTACAATCCTGACCTTTATTTTAGATAATGACGCAACTGAAAGTGCGCGCGCGTGCTGTGTGCACTCCCAACTAATCAGTAAAGTGAAGTATTTAAAAAAAATTTTCCCAGGTTGATCCAATACAAATATCTCTGACGCAACTTTGGGAAGCTCACAATGAGTCAGTTCAAGAGATAACGAAACTCAATTTCGAGGTAATTTAAAAGATCGGATTATAATTATCAATTTATCTAAGAACTGATTTGTTAGCAGTGTGACCACGAACTCTTTAAATTCTTATCTTTCTTGCTTATTAATATGGAAATTTGTATTTCAGGTCCGAAAGATAAGTCTCATCCCGGGCCCTATAGGGCCTACTGGAAGAAAAGGTCCTATAGGACCCCCTGGAAAACTTGGCCCGAATGGACGCCCAGGGAAAAATGGAGCTCGAGGACCTGTTGGACCTCAAGGACCAATGGGCCTTCGAGGGTACAACGGTACGAGAGGCCCTACTGGCAACCAAGGCCCACCTGGTCCACAAGGACCAAAAGGAAATCAAGGCCCAGATGGTCCTCAAGGACCAGTGGGACCTAGGGGATACAATGGCTCTAGGGGCCCACCTGGAAAACCAGGAGTGACTGGTCCACGAGGGAATCCAGGAAACACCGGATCAAGGGGACCCCAAGGACCCCAGGGATCACAAGGACCTGCAGGACCCCCGGGACCACGTGGTGCAGGGAACTTTAGTCAGTGTGTCTACAAAAGAGCTGATAGCAGTGGTACTCGGAAAGGGAACAATGCACATAATAGTGTATTAGTAGCTGAACCAGCTGTAAGTCAAACATTAACTTTGAGCAAAACGCGTCCACACATAAGTATTTGATACTTTTCCTTTGTCAAAATAGACTTAATTGGTCTTGGTGCAATGTTTTCAGACCACGTGTCATTCCCAAAAGTATTCCTGTTTTGTTGAAGGTTAAATTGTGTAGACACTTGAATTCATTCACACAACTCATTCAAAATTATATCTCATTTTCTATGGAACGACACGTGGTCTGAAATTGGTAAACATGTACTGCTTCCTTTGCTTGAGATACATCAAGAGAATATGAACTAAGAGAAGGAATCCTACCTATATAGCCTTGTAACCATCATGTGCACAGTTTGATGCTATTTTTAGYTTGGAGATATTTTGAGCGAAGAACCTGATTGGTTGATTTCTTGAGGGTAGACGGCTTCCAGTCTTGCAGTAAACAAACCCTGTGTTTTTGTTGTGGACGTAGAGAGATATGGCGCTTTTCGTGTCCTAAAACGAGGCATTAAAGGGAAGCATGATTATCGCGCGGGCATGGTAACGAGTTAAAAATAGCATCAATGATTCTAAAAATAGCATCAAAGTGTGCACATGATGGGGCACGGGGGTTCCTTCTCTTAGTTCATTTTCTCTTGGATACTGCATGCATGTATCGTTACCGTTATTCGTCTTCTTACAAAAGAAGGGAAGAAAGAAAGAAAGAAAGAAAGAAAGAGAGAGAGAGAGAGAGAGAGAGAGAGAAAGAAAG